TTCCATACTCTGATTTGCCTTTTTCAGCTCTGCATGTGTGTATATTATGCTATTCCCATGACAACTGTCTGTGCATTTTCCCAAATCATGCTTCACTGAACGGTATCTCTTTGCAAAATGGAATTGTAACCACCATATCCATCAATAACGAGAACGATGATTTTGATAATAGTAATAATATTAATAATAATAGTTTCTCTCGTAGTTTTATGCCCGTACAAATTGGTCTCCATTTTTCATGATCACAGTGTGCTCACCGTTATAGTACGTGCCCATCATGACACCATGATTGGTGCAAATTAGGGACGTTCCTTGATCATTTGGAAATCAAAATGTTCGGTGACAAAAGACAGACTCACCTTTAACACCGTATCACTCCTTAGGCTCATCATCCGTTTCTTTACTTATACTTTCATATTTCTCCATTCCACTTTGGATGACATTATTCATCTGTGCTTCGCGTTCCTGTGGATTTTCCTAGAAAATTTTGCGCGTGTGGGAGTAAGGGAGGAAAATGAGAGTGGTAAACATTAGTTAATGGGTTACCGGGTTACCTGATTATCAGCATTCGTACGAGGACATAGAATCAGCAATCAGCTGTTCTGTATGATCAGCTGATCGATCGCATCAGGCACAGAAGACCGCAGTTTGAACCAATTCTAATCCCCGTGCGATAGGGAAAGCAGCAGATTTGCCAACGCGTCTCTTAATCAAGCCAGTGTGTGTGTGACTTGTAACGTGGATTTGCATCACACTGAGTATTCCTACTTGATTACATTTCGTTCGGCTATGATACGCCAATCAGTGAAATATGTCCATGTGGTCTCGTTCACATAACGTGGTTACGTTATTCAAAAATCAAATTATCTCCGGATGATTGGGGTATTCTGTTTTAGTTTTTCTCTCGAGAATCAATGTTCTGGAGCATCTGAACTTACACAATGGACACCGATTGATTGAATAGGAAATGGAGAGAGGAGTGAGCCACTCTCAGCATGCTCACTTGCTCAATGCACTCACTGACTCAGCGCATCCGCACGACCACACGTGACCACCAAGCCTAAATTTTCAATACATGCGCTTAGTTGGTATGGCATGTGCGCATTGCCTGTGCGAACAGATCCTGCCTCCGTATTTAAATCACGGAAAGCAGGTTGGCGACACCAAAGACAGTACCGCATCGGCACGGTGCGTTCCAAATGCCCAAGTTCAAGGACGATAAGACGGAAAATAGCCACAGATGGCATTCGATCAAAATTGTTTCAAAGTTGTTTTCAATCCGGTCAACATTATCCTTCCCAAGCGAAATAATTCATCCAACATAATATTAAAATATTCAGAAGTAAAAAAACACATCAATTTCACACCCGAAATTGCGGGATAAAAACAATTTTCCTTCCCTAAGCGTAAAGCTGTAGAAAGTTAAGAAAGTGTTCTGCCGACGACGAACCAGTTTAGAACGATCTGTGCATACAAATTCTGAGCCCAGTCTATTACAACAACTAGAGGAATCCCGTTCGATATTCGACATCCACATAGAGTGCAGCGAATCTGCTCGGATCAAGCATGCACTTCAAACTACAGATACACTGAACATCGAGTCAAGAAGAGCATCGTGACCATCGACCATCACCACTGGAGATTATAAAACAGAAGCACGAAATGACATTTTACTTGAACGGTAGACTTAAAACAGCTGCAAAATACTTAAACAACAATGCGAAAAAGCGATTTCCATCACCTATCGATCCGCTATTCTACGAGCAACCTTCACCAGTAGGCGGATTCTGCATACAAAAATTATACGCATGACGTGTCTTGATGATCACCGAACACACTCCGGCTGTCGTTTTTCAGTTGGTTTATTTCTTTCAACGAACAGTAGCGGTGATGAAACAGATGCTCGTTTTATTCGTAGATCTTGTCCGTTGAAAGCAAACAAGCTTAAGCGGTGTTCATTCGTGGGTTCGAATCCCGTCGAAACTACTGAACTTTTCACAATTTCTACATGGTTCAAATTTAATACACTATCATCTTGAATGAAGTATGAAAGTTTGTCACCTACTCCTCATTGTTACCGGAAATCATTGGGACGTAAGATATTGGAAGAGACGATGCAGGTGTCATGTGAGGAGAAATAAGATTCAGTTCTGGATTTTTCCGATTTCGTGCTTGTATTTTACAAATGAGAGAGAAAATACAATCTAATTTTATCGACACAAAACTATTGACAGACAACAAATAGTTGCTAGAAATTCTAAATTATTTCATTTGAAGCAATTGTTCAGTGAATTTAAAGTGCCATTTAATCATTATACGCCCTTTTTCATTATTTTTGTTTTTGTATCGTCAGAAAGAACCAAAAAACAACACAAGTACAACGTGTGTTTTTTGATTTATCAGGGAGACGGTTTCTATGCCAGCGTTTGGTGATTGTTCCCCTAAATCTTTGTTTATTGGGTTGCAAAAATAGCTGCAATCTGTCATTCTTTCGTTCCTTAAGGTTTCTGTGCCACCTTGAACCTAGTTTGTATAGAACTGAGTGATCGTACGTGAGGAACAAAAAAACAATGAAAAAATGTGTAGCTCCCAACCCATCCCCCTCGTTGTTCGCTTACCGTGATCACAGTTTGTAACAATTCGGTCATCGCCTCCCGACGAATCAGTTTGGCTTTCTCCACTGAACTCAAACCTTGCAAAACGGTACTCAGATGTTGCATCATCGTGCTCATCCCGGTCTCAATACGTCCGAGACGTTTCAACGCTCGCGTAAACTCACGTTGAGTGACCGGTGGTACTTGAATAGTCTCGTCAGCCAGCCCGGTTTCGAGAGCAACTTGTTCTTCTTTGGCTATTTCGCTAACCAAAGCCATCTGGATATGGTAGAATATCAATTTTAATCATCATGACATTTTGCAATTCAAATTTAACGTATCTTTAAGTTTTTTTTATTAAAACAGGACATATTTTTGAGCCGAAGATTTAAAAGCGTTAGAATAAATCCCTCAATTGAGAGGAAAAGAGAGATCAATTCACTTTCGCCTGTTTACCGAGTTGAGCTTCATCATAAACCGGGATGACATCTGCAATGCCTATGAATTGGAAGGCTTATGCTTGTACTCGCTGCTTATATATATATATATATATATATATATGTATATATATATATGAATTCCTAAATACTGACTAATTTTTGTCTCTTGTTCTCAATGTGCTAGACCCGGTTCGCCGTTGAACTAGTGCAACGGGGTGTAGGTGTGGGATGGAGAGGGGGATGTATTTAGTTTAGTAAATTGTCAGTNAGTACAAAAGAAGACGGAGGCATCCAATAGTAACCCCGTTGTACGTATGTAGTGGTGCGTTGTCATGAGATAACAGGAATTGTATGATGTTTTTTAAATTGTTTTATTGATCCTTAAAATGCATTTATTTGAATCATGTCACTTGTGTAAAAAGGTAATTTTTGAGAAAATTTGTTTTAAATGGTGACATTGAAAGCTCTTTGAGGGGTTCAAACGTGCGTCGTCTCTTAAATCAGTTTGTAAGATTCAGCTCTAATTGAATATGTATGCATAATAAATGTGATTGATGAAAAAGGTTGCGAAACTGTATTCACGGCCACGTTATGCATTCGCAAGAGTCGCAGGCCTGTATTGACTGATATACATTTCGATGCGCCAAGTGTACAAAGCGTACATCTACAAGAGGGGACACATTGTTTGAGAAGTATAAATTGGCTTTGGATATATTGATGAAATTAATATTTTACTATGTGATGAAAGAACCTGTAACTCGTGCTGCCGTAATAACCAATGGTTCGATTTTTTCATAGGAAACATTCACCAACTATAAGAGAACATGTTTGGGTCACGTTAGACAACTGTACCAATATTATTATATTCCTTTTGATGATGTGACTTTGATGTTATTTTCATAATAAATAATTATATACTGATGTTAACAAGGGACTTATGATGCATATACTTCATATTGATTATGAGTAGGCATCATACTTGGGCAAAAGTCGTTAGAGGGACGGGGAGGGGGTTACTATTGGATAAACTCTCCCTCTCTGGAACGAATACCTTTAAGAGAAACCACATTTGTTCTATCCGAGTGCGTGTTTGCTATTGAGAGAGCAGCAAATGGCCACTCACCCAAGGATGAGCTGATCACTGTAACATTATGGTTACTTGTAGCGTGTGAAATGATAGCTTACCAAACTTTCGGAGGCAATTTCTTTGATCAGTAATTAATCCACTGATAATTGTTTCCATTCTTGTCTGAATCTTAGTCTGAATCTGGTATCTTGCCTATTTTGCCTATTTTCAGCGATGAAGATCAGGTGGTTCGAACTGCTCTATTGTTGCCCAATCTCCCTATTGCCGTATTTTCCCAAGCAGCGTTTGTATAACCTTATGGTTCTCGGAAAGTTGACTGAACATTTGTTTATTCAAATAAGTAGAAAAAGGGAAGTAAAAATACTGTAGTTATAAATCATATACACGATCATGATTCGAATTACGATGGGCATATTCATACTTGAAAGTATACTCCTCACTGGAACTTTTTCGAATAGAACTATTTCACATTCCTCGTCGTCCATTTGTGAGGCTTACTTCTCTGTATTCTCTATACACTTTGCGTTCTTCAGCTTTTCCCTGGTTACAATTCCGATGGCTTTCTCCACAAGTAGCTGAACTTGCGTTCTCCCTGTGCCAAATAGGGATTATTTGACATATTTTGTGTGATCAAGAACAGACGGGGTGAACCCGCTATCCTGTGCTGAAAACCGACAACCTAAGCGCCCGAGACTTGGAGTGGTGAAACCACATAAGGTCCGACTAGGATAGGCGTTGTATTGAATCGGAGGACAGCGCAGATGTCTACCAAAGAAATATAATCTTCTCCTTCACGGGAACACCATTTACCAACCTTTACTTTATTACTTGGGTGATGAAAGGTCTTGCTCATTGACCGATTCAATGTGATGGTTGGACACCGGTGAGTTCAACTGCCGCAATGTGTGAGTTGGTTCGGTGAATATATTGAGTGGCCATCTGTGGTGATCCTAGCCTAAGAGATGACACATACCACAAAGGGACACGTTACAGTTTTCGGACAGCTGTGATCAATCAAGCCTCAGGTGTGACGTCAGCAAAGTGCGTACGTGTCTCACATTCTGAACCACAAATCATAGGTCGATTGGAACAGCCAATCAAAACCGTGCGGCCTAGACAGAAGCTCAACAACGCCAGAAATATTAACACTCGATTGGCAGAGACCTGGGTGACCAATGAACTTGTTTTGTACATATTTGATTCGCTTGATTTCTTTCAATGAACGAACTGCTATTCTTGTGGCATTTCCCTCGCGCCTTGTTTAGGTGGGATATTGCGTGCAAGTACCAGTGTGGTCCAGTGCCCAAGTGTTTTCTGTGATTGCTATTACGTGATTCGTATTTCTTGTTCAGTGCGTACTAAAATCACTGCAATTAACACACTATTGTAGGATCGACACCAAAGCAATTAATCACAAATATTCGTCCAGTGAGCTTTTCCTAAACTCCTGGTCTGTTATTACTGATGAATTACAAATTAGGTGCTCAATTTGTAGCTGGTTTTCAAGGTCATTCTTCAATGTTATAGACATATATATATATATATATATATATATATATATATATATATATATATATATATATATATATATATA